GGCATATAGTAATATGTTAATTGTTAGCCTGGGATTGATTGTGAGGTTTTTCTGGTTAATTTTTCTAATGAATTTGGTTTCTAAACAAGAGACCATTTCAAAAACTTAATTCATTTGCAATGATATTTGAAGCTAATTTAAATCAGGTCTTTAATGATTGTAAGTTATATAAATAAATATTAATTAGTTTATTTGATTAATGAAACACAAGTGTGTGATTTTACTATTACTTCTGCTAATATGTATTTCTAAGCAGATTTGATTTTAAAAGGAAGAGGAAAAGGTCAGTTGTGATTTTTTTCTTTTCATTAGCTTTATGTTTAGCAGGAAGTGTTAAAAGAGCTATAAATTGCCTATCCAAAGTGTTAGTTTTCTACTGACAGCAGTCAAAAAAGGTGGCCAGACTTGGTGTTGGTCAGACTGAATGGCTCTACATGGGGAAAAGTCTTGCTATAGATTTTGAGTAAGCAATAAGTAATATATATCTATATATTTGCTTTTTGAATGTCCCTGTTGCACTTTCAGGCATATGCAGGCTTAATGGTCTGTCCGTCTGTCTGTTTTGCTTTCTCCTGGAATGACAGTTTAACAGTTTTCCTTGTTGGATTATATTAAATTCTTTAAATGCTACATTAACTAAAACATATTTCCAATGTTTAGACAGCCAAATCTGTGCAATCTTTTTAATGGAGTATAACTTAGCAACTCTGCTATTATCACAGATATCTTATTGTTAGAGCTACATTAAAATATCCCCAAATTTGAGTTTCGTTCATATTTAAATTGTTCTGGGTTGTGCTGACCCATCCTTTTGCACTATTTTAAAGTGGATTTTCCCAAGAAAAGCAATAGTTTCATAAGTTAAACAAGAACTTGCTTAATATAGTTTAATTATTTTAAGAGATTTTTAACTAAGTTTCTTGAATGTCTACCATATTTTGAGCATTATGCTAGATATCCTGCCTGGATAACTTGAAGTTACGGCTATTAGCAATGGCATCTAGGTAGAAGATGAACAGTGAGAAACAGTCATGAAGTAGCCCAACCAGGAACCAAGGTATTTTTAGGGTTTTATCAGAACAGGTATTGTGATCTGTCTATTCTTGGCGAAATCAAGATTTTGATAGCTCCTCTTGTTATAGTATTCTGTTGTTGCCCTGGAGAAGGGAGTGACTAACTGAAATAGTGAGAAAGAATGAGATTCCTTGGCACAAATGCAGGGCAGACTAGTACTGACTGACTTAGCAGCCCACAGTCTGTTTCACTGCTTGCCTTTTAGAATTGCTTTTTTAAGTTTTCTTGGCACTTTTTCTTGAGATCCTCTAGGGAACAAAGACCTTTTATTTTGTGGTAGAGGACATGGAGAACAATTACTCACAGTCCAATCTTTTATTGGCACTGCTTTCCCTGGTACTTCTGTCCCTTCTAATTTACTGGTGCTCCGTCTGCCCAAGGCCAGGGTCCTTGGAGCAGGTTTTAGTGGCATGAAGTTGAAGAAGCAGATACTGGAAAATCCAGGCTTATGTGATCTTTCCTGTCTTTGATAAGTTCAGCTTTCATATTGAAAAGTTGTTTAAACCTTTAAAATTTTTTCAAGTAGTGATATATATTTATCTCAAAAGTAAACTTGAAACTTTAAAATTAGTAAAATCAATTTTAAAGTATTATATATATTTATATCTATACTAGTAGTTATTATTTTTAAGAAAACTTAACAGCCATCTCCATTGAAAGGCACAATATTAATTTTTAAGTAAGTACATCAAAATGCTAAATTTGACTTAAAAAATTTCCTAGCAGTTATATATCATTGTGCCTCAGTGTATAAAAATTAATTGCTTATTACAGTTGACAAAAATATATAGTTTAATAAAAATATCTTATTTAATCACAGAAAATAGACTAACACTCTCTTCAAACGTGTAGATTTGTACAATCTCATTATAATATCATCAAAGTGTTCATGATTTCCAAAATCGTAAGGGAGCCATCTTCAGAAATTTTAGTAAATTAAAGTTGTGAAGGATAAAAAGCATATACCACGTTGAATTTATATTATACCTTACAAAATCATTGAACTGTATTCATAGACTCAACCTTTTAATGATATATGTTAATTATATTTGAGGTGTGACTTTGAAATATCAGTATTACTTTTAAATTTTGGCATCTTTCAGAATTTTGATATAATTTGTTTTATATATTTTAATACGTCAGGATCATATCCAGCTCATCTCTTGACCCACAAGCTCTTGGATCCTAGACAAATGGGAAATAAGGTTATGGTATTAGAGAAAGTGAAGTTCTTTAACACATATCTGTGTGTTATGTAAACATGTGTGTTCTTGAACAAGAGTTATGTACTGACAGTTAAAGAAGTAATTCCAGAAATTTCTTAAACATCAAGAGCTAGAAGGTAGACACAATGAAAAGTAATAATACTGTGAGTTTATGGAAATTGTCAGGTATACAAACCCGTGAGAGACTGTGGCAAGGAGACAGGAGTCAGAAATAACGATCATAATCATAAACTGATTTTCACAGGAATTGCTATATGCTAGGCTTTGAGTTTAGCACTTTACATTGATCACTTCATTTAATTTGGAAAGTACCTACGTTTTATTTTTGCTTCTTAAAATCAACTCTGATATCTGAAAAATGCAGCAGATCATAAAGACACTGGCATGGGAAGGCTGATTCCCTGTGTTTTAATGTGCTTATTTGCTGTGGGAGTTTGGGTTCTTTTGTGTCTTAAAAACTAATCCTATAATAACAAGAAAAACATTATATGTTTCTCTGAGGAAATTATGACTGCAATATAAAATATATTCAAATGCATTACTTTTATTTGTATTTATTTTAGACTTATTGAAAATACTTTTAGTAATGTAAAAATATCTTTTATATAAAGTAAAAAAACAAAAGTCCCTTTCCCTCCAATTCCTATACTGTCATTTTTTTCAGGAGAAAGAAATTTTGATAGTTTGGAATGAATCCTTCCAGACTATTTACACCTGTGGCTCAGTGTATATATGGTTGTGTTTTTTGTTTCCCCACTGTTGTTTTTCACAAAAATGAGATTGTACTGTCCTGTAATTTTCTCATTTTGTCATACATATGGGCATCATTTTATATCCTCAGTCTTCTCAGTCTTTTTCATGTCTGTGTAATACTTGACTATATTGATATATCTCAGTTTATTTAGCCCTCTCCTGTGGTAAGATACTCAGGGTCTCTGGATTCCATCTGCTTGCACATCATGTTGTATGAAATCCAAGGTTGAAAGCTTTTGTCCTGGATACATCCGTGCATAGTTTCCCAACTACACTGTGCAGGCTATAGGAAGCCTAGGTTGCTTATTGGCCTTCAGGGGTCATTCTAAAGGTTGCCATTTGATCTTGGATAGGCCTCAGTTCAGAGTACCAATTTTGTTGTATGGAGTTTTAAGGTATCAGTAGCAGTTTTATGGAAGTTTCTTATTCTTACCTCTTAAAAATTTAAGATGCATTGCGTAATTGGTGGGGGGAGGGGGTTAGCTGTTATCTTTAGAAACTATTATATTGACAGCGGTCTGGGCTTTTGAGCTATAAAGAAAATCTGTCTAATCATTTTTTAAAAAATTAAGAATTCTTTAGATCATGGCATCTTTTGGAGAATTTTTTGAGATTACATTTGTTTTCTTGCAATTGTGGAATATTTTTGTTTCTTTATATGTCTAACCAGGTGTATTAAAGTTTAATTTGTGATATTTTGGGTGGGGAGGCTATTGATTGGGGGTGGAGGGATTGAGCAAAAAAGAAAAAAAGAGAACTCATGGAAAAAAATTGAATTTGTGACCATCATAAAGAGCATAATTAATCACAGTTCTAAAAATTCAAACATCAATATTCCATGGTTAGCATTTCATTGGGGGTGGGTATGATGTTCATAAAATTTTATGTTCTTCAGTCACTATTTATTTAATAGATATAGTAGTAATTTATTTTTGTTGTGGCTGCTGGCTATATCTTGGAGTTTAACATCTGCTGGTTTAAAATACTGCATATTTTTAAAATTCTCAACTCTAATTGCCTAGAATGAAGGAAAAGAATTGATTTATATGCATATTTTTGCTTGGGAGATTTTATTTCATATTTGTAAAATAGTAATGTAGAATTTGAGGAAGGCGATCCATTATTAGACATGTAGAGGAAGAATTACCACTTCTCTTTGATAATATGGTAATTGTTCAACATATTTTAAGTAATAACCAGCTGTTGACTTTAATATTTTTTACCTTTCAACAAAGTTGGTATTCTGCTATGATGTCATAGCTATACGTTTTGATTTATTATTGCATAGAGTATGTCATGCATATTCTGTGAACAACCACACTGAGCCAGTATTGAGAATACATCTTTGTTATTTGTGACATTTTCTATGTTAAAATGGAGTTGAGGTTCTTAACCAGATTTTAATGCACATGGTCAAAGAGGGTTGTAAACCTTTTACTTCTGCAGTGATTTCTTCTTTCTAGCTCTCCATGAACTTTTACTTTGCTACAGAGTTTACATATTTTTGTGTTTTTCTTCTCTCCAAAACAGTATTTCTTAAGACTATTTGTTTATATGCAAATATACCTCAAAAAGGGTTAAAAATACTTTTATTCTTAATGTAATTTGAAGAATAAAAAAGATTGAGATATAAAAATTTGAAACACAGTAATTCAGGTTATAACAAGAATATTTTATAATGAAATGCATTTTTGATGACATACATAGAATTACAAATCTCATTTATATTTTGTAGTAGGATTATAAACTATATTGAAAATTCTTTAGCAGGGTAAAAATCAAATGACTGTCTTGTTGAAAGATTTGTGCTGTAACTTATTTGACATAGAATTGAATTACTAATTTTTTATTTATTGAAATTAAATAATTTATTTTATTACTTAAAACTGCAGTCATATACTTGAAAATATGTATTCTGTTCAACATTAGGTTTTCCTTTTCTTTTTCAGTCTGTAATCAAAACAGGGCGACTGCTAATCAGTCACGAAGCTCCCTTGACGGGCGGCTTTGCGTCGGAGATCAGCTCTACAGTTCAGGTACAGTAACTTCTTGGCATTGATTTTAACATTTGTGCAATTGCACATGTCTATTCCAAGAAAAAAATCACATGTCACAATATATAAAAATATGCCCTTTATGGAAATGCACATTTTTCATTTGACTCTACCTCCCTGTCTTAGTAATGGTCTAATTACATCATCTAGAAAAGAAATCTTAAAATAATAAAAGCTGAAAATTCCTTTATAGGAAGAAGAAAGTTTCAAATGAGTTTAATAAACTAATGTCACTTATGTTTGCTAGGATATCAGAACTTTTAAATTTGAATGTGACATTTCTTTCTTGATAAAACTTAAGCTTGTTATGAAATGTGTTGTTATAAAATTGATTTTAGATTCTCCTGCCTTCACCTAACAAAAAATGCACCTCTCAAAATGTAATAATGTAAATTCAATAAATAATTTTAAAATCAATAATTTAATTTATTAAATTAGTAATTTTTTATGTTATTGGTAATGCTTTAGAAATGGCTAAAAATTGTATTTCTCTTTTAAAAATGTTTAGTTAAAATGCTGCATATCAGGAAAACTTTCTAGCTACTTATGGAAAATTTTTATTTAAAACTTTTATTTCCATTTGTATCATAGATATGAATAAGATGATTTAAATGAGTTTCATTTTTCCTCATTTTTAAAATTAAAAATTATATAACTATATTTTAAATGTAAAATATATGCCTTTTAAATTTAGAATATCTTTGCAGTTTAAAAACATTTTACTTTACTTTATGGGTGTTAAGATGATTTTGTTGTTAATACATACAAATTGAGAATTTCTTTAAGAGTATATGGTTTACTAACTTGATTGTTAATAAGATTGTGATATATGAGAAATGATGTTTTTATTTTTAAACATTTAACTAGTAAATAATGATTTCTACCAATGAAATATATTTAAGTTCTAATTGACAACACTCTAAATATTTTTAAATTAGATGAAGCAAATTTAAACATAAATTTTAAAGCTAGATCAAAATAATCCATACGTATATTCAGAAACAAAATATGCTGTTATTTTCACATGTTAAATAGATAGTAACAAACTTAAGAAAATTGAGTTTTATAGATTTGTTGTTTTCCTGTTATTACATAAATTAAAATTTGAAACATACTGCTCATCATATAACACAAATACCCCATATTTATTGTCCATTTTATTAATTGAGTAGCATACTGTTCTAACTGTGTAAAAAATGAAAATTGCAGGGATGAACTATTTCAACATCAAGATGTTATTTCAAGTTAGAGACAAAACTGAAAAAAGAAACAGGGATTTTCTGATTCCTAGTTAACAAGTGGTCCACTAATCCATTTGAAATGATAGTGACTGTTGCTCATAGAATCTTTATCTGACAGCCTTTTATTTTGTTATCTGAATGCCATCTTATTCTTAGCTCAAAAAATTCATTTGCATTTGAATATAAAAGGAAAACAAGAGCACATGTACAACTCCTCCTGTGAAGTTACCTTTCTCTGTGCACTTCTTAAATTTGATCTCCATAAATTATTAGTAAGCTGCAATAGGATGAAATGTATTTTTTAAACTGGGAAGGAATTAGGAAGATTATCTCATTTAGTGTTTCTTTGTCTTGAATAATATGTGGACTTGTGTTGACAGAAAAATGTTTCTGAGGCCCCAAGAATACATGTATGAATTCCAGTTTGAGGAACACTGTATTGTGAATTAGACACAGTCAGTATAAAAAGCTAACACCAACAAGATCATAACACTGTATCAAGATCAGATCCTGAAATTATGTGATATTGATAGGTGCTAAAGGTTATGAAAGAGGTTACCCAGAATGTAATTATATTTATACTAGAGGCCCGGTGCACAAATTCATGCATGGGTGGGGGGCCCTGCCCCCTGGTTGAGCTCCTGTTGAACTCCCGGTGGAGGGGACAGTTTGCATATAAACCTTTTATTATGTAGGATCATAATATGAAGGCAAAACAAAAAAAGACACTTCGTAATATTCTTACACTCCTGAGAATATGCCCTGAGATCCTCAGGTATCTGTTGTTTTAGAGTAATCCTGACAACCTAAGTCAACCATGTTCCTTTTATAGTGAAGTGTTTGTCATCCAGAGTGCTTGTGACTTACCTGGTTTAAAAGGACAGTGGAAGCTCTGGGAGTTGAACAGGAATATTGAGTAAATATTATGTGTATGCATGTGCATTCTTTATTCAAAGCCCCCACCACCTAGGGCAGTGATGGCGAATCTATGACACGTGTGTCAGAGGTGACACATGAACTCATTTTTTTGGTTGATTTTTCTTTGTTAAATGTCATTTAAATATATAAAATAAATATCAAAAATATAAGTCTGTTTTACTATGGTTGCAAATATCAAAAAATTTCTATATGTGAAACGGCACCAGAGTTAAGTTAGGGTTTTTCAAAATGCTGACACACCAAGCTCAAAAGGTTTGTGATCACTGTCCTAGGGGAAGATAGCAGTTTTGGATTCATTATAAAATGTTCTGTTTTCCCTTTTAAAGTCATTCAACCAAATAACAGGAAAATGAATTAAGACAATAATGTAAAATTTATAGGGATATCTGCATTTGATATTTTGGGGAATTAGAATTTGATTTATTAATATGCAAATGATTTTGAAAATGTTTATAGTTGTTGCTTAATTCAAATTTTATTCACACAAATGGAAAGTATGGAAAATGAATTTTAATAAAATATAATCAACATAGTATCCCCAAAAGTTTGCCTGTTGCCTTTAATGTATTGATAAGGGAGAAAACAAAAGAAGGAAAGCTAGATAATTTGAGAGATTTTCTTCTTTTTTGGTAATAATGATTTCATATAATTTAGAGTATTCTGAATAAGAAAAATCTACTTTTCAGTAATTATTTCATGAACATATTCAAGTAAATGCAATGTACTATATTAAGCATCTTCTTCATGGAAGTCCTCAAACCTTATGAAAAGTGAAGCCTGTGTCAAATTACCAGTGCCTTGGATTTAAGCTGAAATCACTTGAGTGTAAGGTGCAGTTGCTTTCATGTCTTGGAACAAGTCATTTCTATATTTCTTTCTGTTGTGTATACTTAGTAAGGTTAAAAAAGATAAAACAGGGTTAAGAAATTGAAAGCCAATTTTCTGGAATGGCAGGGAAAAGGTACACAGAGAACTTTTAACTGTTGTCTTGGAAAAGGACTTTGAAATTATGGATGAGAATGATCTATAAATTTGAGCACTATTGATTAAAAGACTGAATTATTCTCCTTGTATCAGCGCATGTAAATTCCATATGAAAGTGAGCATATACAAAATAATCTTGACAAACACTATTTTGTGGATGATATTTGGTACCTCTGTAAAAGCTCAAGACTAATCATAGAAAGTTGCTCTTAAAATTATATTTTAATGGTTATTATTTTATTATCAAATAAAGTATAAGTAATACTTTATCATAGTTTAATAATATAATGATTATTATTAACAAAACTATTTTTAAATGCATTAAAATCTGGTAGCATGATTTTTTGTTTTTCTAAAATTCTAAATTATTACCCATATTAAAAATTAAAAAATTGGAGGCGAATGCAGCACTATTGAGGGTATTATTTTAATGCTATAGTTGGTATTTTTAGATAGAAATATGGTCATGCTATATAAAATGGATATCGAGTAAAGGGGCTTTTTTGGTAGGTATAAGAAATATTGCTGGCATTACTATTAAGATTATTTTGGTATACAGATAAAATATGAAAAGAATGAAAATATATTTATATTTTATTTACATAGTTTTTCAAATTACAGCAGATGTCATTTCCATAATACAAGGAGCTCAGTATCAACATCTTAAGTTTGTTCATGCCTGTTGCCTGTTTTTCATAAAGTTAGTTATTATTTTAAAAAATGTTATTGTTAACATTCTAAGTTGAAGGTATGTTAAACTCACAAGTGATCAGGAAATTACTTTATATTGAATATAAAAATATTTTTATTTATATTTATCAGTAATTTCTTTATAAAATATGTGCTTCCAAAAATCAAAGCTAATACATTGAAACTACAGACTGCTTTACATTCCTACTAGATTTAATTTGAAAGTCAACTGGAAGCAGAGTAAGCTGAGGTCTGGTATATTTGGCTCCCCTCAAGGGGAGATTTCTTGGTCGGTCATCCAAAGCTTCACTGTCTCTTCCCACCTAATTTTACATTCCCCATCTGTTCTCATTTTGGGGTGAGGGAACTTTTTCCTTCTTACATTTGACCCACACACAAAACTTGGAGATGTGCTTCTTTTAGGGAGTTATGCATTCCCATTGTGCACCCTGTGGAAAAGTGCAAAGACAAGAGTTTAGGCAATTCACTGACCTCGGTGTATAGTTTGAGCAAATATTTCATTGTTTCAGAAAAGTATCTGGATTAATTTTATGTGGTGTTTGTATTCCTCAGCTTTATGTAACCACGGCTGTAAAAAATAAAAATCTTTATTGTGCTAATAAAGTGTTAATGTCATCTATTTTAATATTCCTCCAAATGAATTTATATGTTCTAGAATGCAATATTCAAAATAGGCATTATTCATTTAAATGTTGAGACCAAGTTATTTGTGATATTTTAACAGGTTTAAGCTTTAAATAGTATACTCTCTTTATGCCATATAGAATCCAACCTTTATTTTTAATTTCTAACACATTCTCATAATGAAATAAATTTTGACTCTGATAGGCTATGATAATAAAAAACTGTTTTTTCTGGATTCAATGCTTAATAAGAATGCCAAAAATTTTAGGGATTGGGATTGGCTTAAAGGTTTCCTCCTTTCTTTTTTTTTAAACACATGGAAGCAATAAGTCTGTAATAAAGAGTCCATTTGGAGAGGATGGTAAGTTTCCATACCATTGTTTCATCCTTTCTGTGCGGTCTCTTTTCATAGAATAAGAATGCAGAAATTATACACACCAACATATATTTTTAAAGGAAATAATATTCTAATAGTTTGAAAAGATTTTTTAGGGTCTATATAAATCATTGTGAAAAGCAAATTTTCATAATTTCAAGTAAAGGAATTGTACTTTTCTTACTCTTTCATGTTAGACAGGATTATACAGAAGGATTTTATCTAGTGAATTTAATATTACTACCAAATTTACAAGCATTCTTAAAAGCATCAATTTGAAGAAGAGGGAAAAGGTCCTAAGTAGTCTTGAGTTTTTACCATTGTGGAAATATGTTTAATTAAAATTACTCTGTTGGTAAAGTAAGAGTCATCAAGAGAAAACTATCAGAGTAGTAATTTGATGAATAATTTACTGCAATTTTGTAATGTTAAATTTTTTTAACTAGTGATGGCAAGCATTTGCCGACAACAGCTATAATAATGAGGAAAAGTATGCTTCTATACTAAAATCTATTTAGACAGAGTCAGAGCATTAGACAAGCAGTTTAACACAGAGTGTTCAGATATAGATTGGCCTTTAAAATGGCATTTCGTCCTAAAGCCTGTTGAATGTTCATTAAACAAATGGGGTTTGTAGCCATAGAGCTGAACTATAGACTAAAATCTTTCAGGGTTGCATCATGGATGGGGCTGCTGATATCACTGTAGTTCAACCCATATTATACTCTCTTGGTCTTCCTACTTGCCCTGACCACACCGTGTCTCTTTCTTCTTTGTTCATTAGTATAAATGCCAAGGTTCTACCACCAGCCCTTTAACTCCCATTTTTTCTTAGGAAAGCTCAATCATCTGCATGGCTATTCTTGAAATGTTTAAATTCGAAACTTTCAGAATTTGCTCTTGAGTGTTAGATTCAAAATGCCAAATTCATGCTAAGTTTGGCAGTGATAAAAAATCTGGTATGACTGTTGCTGCCAAGGTTCTAGTGCAGATGCAAGACAGAAGGGTCCTCGTGCTTTCTGTCTGTCTGACTGTGGCAGCCAAGATTGAATGGGGGAATACAGTGAAAAAAAAAAAAGAAATTTGGTATGATAAAATAGTTTATAAGGAAGGAAGGATTTCCACATGAAACAGTGAAAAAAGGCAGATATCAGCACATGGTTTGCCTGTCTGTCAGTTTGTAGAAATCAGCTTATATCGAGACCAGCTCTATTTCTCAACTTTTTCTGGACCCTTTAAATTGTCTTCTTTAGTCTCTCACATCTTATCACATTACTGTGCATTGTTTTCTTAAAACACACATCAGGAGAGGATTAAAAATGGTGGCAGAGTAAGTGGATGCTGCATGGACAGGCTCCCAGGAACAAACTGGTATTGAAACTAAAATATAGAAAAGCTTCCTGAATAATCAACAGAAAACTCACAGGAGAGAATCCTGACACCCGAGGACCGAAAGTGGAGACCACAGAAACTGGTAGGAGGAGCGGAGGCGTGAAAGGGCTGGCCCATAGGCAGCAACTGAAGTCCTGGAGAGATATCTCAGCTGTGGGGGGTTGCCACTGAAAACTCTGAGATCTAATCCCCAAGCTGGGCTCCCCAGCAGAGAGCGCAAAAAAGAGGAGGGTACCCACATAACATCTAGCTGTGAAAAGCAGTGGGGTGCTGTCTGCCAGGGAGTAACAGCTGAAAATTCAGGCACCCTCTTAAAGGGCCAATGCACAAAATTCCCGGTGGATCCACCCACCTTGTGTTATGGCAGGGGGAGGATGAAGTGGACTGGAGCTGTGAGGGCAGAAGACAGGACTGGGGACTTGGGGGATAGAACTTAGAAGGCAGACACCCCAAGTTTCCTGGGCTGTCATTGTCTCATGCAGCTGAGGACATCTTTCCCACATAGGCATCTGCCTTGCCTGGGGGGAAGACAGTGGGCATACCCTATTGGAAAACACCTTACTCTGAAGACACCTAAGAGATTAAAAATAACAATTAGCCTCCAGGCAGTAGTAACTGCCCCACCCTATTGAAAAAACTCTCATCACACTTGAGGACAAATTGCCTGGGGGGCAATTCAAGTCTGAATCCTATCAGTCTATAGACAGAGGTCCTCTCTGGAGGCTTTGAGTCTATGCCTGATCTAATTAGTCAGAAACAGCCTTTAATACTGTCCTGCACTAGAGATTAAGACGTGTAGAGGTTCTATCTAATACATGGTCACAAACCCAAACAGAAAGCCAAAATGAGGAGAAAACGAAACAACCCCCAAATGAAAGAACTAGAGAATCCTCCAGAAGAAGAGATAAATGAAGCAGAGATAAGAAATTTATCTGAAACAGAGTTCAGAGTAATGATGGTAAAGATGCTCAACAGCATGAAGAAAGATATAGTATCTATGAATAAAGAATATTCTGAGATAAAGAATGACACAACAAAAATAAAGAACACATTGGAAGGAATACACAGCATACCAGGGGGGCGGGCTGAGGATCGGATCAGTGAATTAGAAGACAATGTTGAAAATATCAATCAGAAAACCAGAAAGTAAAAACAATTAAAAAACAGGAGGACAGCTTAAGGGAGCTGTGGGACCATGTGAATTGTAATAATATTGGGATAGCAGGTGTGCCTGAAGAGGCAGAAAGGAAGAAAGGCATAGAGAAGGCACAGAGAACCCCAAACAGACCCACGCCCAGACACATCATAATTAAAATGCCAAAAATTAAAAGCAAAGAGAGAATAGAATCTTAAAGGCAGCAAGAGAAAAGAAAACTGTTACCTACAAAGGAGTTCCCATAAGGCTGACACCTGATTTCTCATCAGAAACTCTACAATGCTAGAAGAGAATGGCCTGTAGAGTTTCAAGGTAATGGAAAGCAAGGATCTGAGAACAAGACTACTATATCCAGCCAGGCTAGCATTCAAAATAGATGGTCAAATAAAGAGCTTCCCAGACAAAAAAAAAAAAAAGCTAAAGGAGAAACAGAGAAACCTAGCCATGCAGGAATATAATGGCAATAAATAAGTACATCTCAATAATAACCCTAAATGTAAATGGACTAAATGCTCCAATTAAAAGGTGTAAGGTAGCAGAATAGAAAAACATGACCCAAATATATGCTGTCTACAAGAGACCCACTTCAAAACAAAAGACACACACAGGATGAGGGTGAAGGAGTGGAAAAAAATTTTTCCATGCAAATGGAAAAACAAACAAACTGGAGTAGCAATACTCATATTCAACAAAATAGATTTTAAAATGATGGCCATCACAAGAGACAACAAAGATCACTACGTAATACTAAAGGGATAGATCCAAGAAGAGGATATAACCCTGATAAACATATATGCACCCAAAATAGGAGCAACTAAATATATTTTTAAAATTTTTAGAGTACTTTAATGGAGAGATCGACAATAATACAGTCATAGTAGGAGACTTTAACATCACTCTGACTTCACTGGATATATCTTCCAGACAAAAACTTAACAAGGAAAAAGAGATTCTAAAGGATACACTGGATCAGATGGATTTAATTAACATTTATAGAACATTTCACCCCAGTGCAGGAGAATATACATTCTTCTCAAGTGCACATGAATCATTCACAAAGATAGACCATGTATTAGGACAAAAAGCAAGTCTCTACAAGTTCAAGAAGATTGAAATCATATAAAGCATCTTCTCAGATCAGAGTGGAATGAAATTAGAAGTCAACTGCAGTAAAAGCACCCAAAAACATTCAAACCCATGGAGGCCTGGTGCACGAATTTGTGCATGGGTGGGGTCCCTGGGGGTGGCCTTTAGGGATTGGGCCAAAACCAGCAGTCCAACACTGCCTGCAGCTCCTTCCTGCTGCTCCTGCTTATCCCAGCCCCACTGTGCCTGCTGCGGGCTCGTGCCCAATAAGTCCCTATCTGGAGAGGCTCGCGCTGCCGCAGCAGTGCTCACCAGCCAGGAGCCCTGCATCTGGCGCTCTCCCAAGGGGAGTGGCCTGCGGGATTGGGCTGAAACTGGCTTTCTGCCATCCCCTGAGGGGTTCCGGATTGTGAGAGGGTGCAGGCCAGGCGGAGGGACCCCACCCATGCATGATCAGGGCCAGGGAGGATGCGGGAGGTTGGCCAGCTGGGGAGGGACTGTGGCATGGGCATGTCCAGCCTGTCTTGCTCAGTCCCGATTGGCCGGACCCCAGCAGTAAGCTAACCTACCGGTTGGAGCATCTGTCCCCTGGTGGGCAGTGCACGTCATAGTGAGCAGTTGAGCAACCTTAGCATATCATTAGCATATTACGCTTTGATTGGTTGTTCAGTTGTTCTGCCTCTTGGTCTATTTGCATATTACCCTTTATTACATAGGATACTGAGGGATTTGTTTTTGTATGGAAGAAGTAGAATCAGCTCACAAAGAAATAAATCCAGTTCTTCCAATGCATTTAAAATACAGTTTATAAAGTTCTTGCCAAATAGGAAGTAGTAGGAAATCAAAAAACAATGGTCACAATATTTATCATTTAAGACAAAAGGGTGTAGTTAAAAGATTTTAAGCTGGAGAATAACACTGAAAGATTTACAGCTTTAGAAAAACTCTGGCACTAAGTTGAGGAT